CCACATCTCCTAGCTGCTACATGACCCCCATGTGAATTGAGCCATGTTTCCCAGCATGGATGATGGAAGCTGCCTTGGGGTTGGGGTGGGTGGGCCGGCAGATCCTTCCATATGCGCGCCATGATTGCTTCAGAGTCCCGGCATCTGACTCCAGATCCCGCTGCAAAGGGCACTTTTTTTTTAAATTGTATGAAAGCATCGAGCTGGAGGCGGAGTTTCTGTGGCCCCTTTGGTCCCGCGCAGGCACTATTTAACTATACCTCTTCCTATCAAGTTCCATGAATTTCTAAGCCTCAATTTCCCTCTCCATTTGTGAATCGAGGGGCGTGCACTAAGCGCATCCCTTTTGGTCTTAACCGCCTGTTATTTAAACCCTGCTTCCCACGGAGGAGGGATGGGAGCCCAGATCGTATTGTCTTTTTCTTCCGCTTTTTTTTGGACTCGCAGATCAGGGAAAGGGCGAATTCTAACAGCCTCGAAGAGAACAGTTATCTCTAGCAAGCCCTCCACCCCCCACCCCCAAAAAAGCCCATGCTTGTGACAGGTCGTATATTTGATTACGCAAAGCAAATTGGGAAATCATATCTCTGCAATCCCATCTGGGATTATTTATTTCGCCGCGTCCAGAGTCGGTCAAAATTGTGAGGCGATACAATGTTAAGAGTAGCTTTCTGTGAGCGGAGGTGGATTCGAGGTCATCTCTGGAGAAACTAGAGACATAATCGGCCAGAGCAAAGCACTTTTACAGCGCTGCCTAGACGTTCCCAAAAGTCATTCACTATCCCAGGCGACTCCGGCGGGTGGTGGAGGGCAGTATTCCAACCGGCCCTACCTCATCTCGAAGCCTCGGAAACTGATAATCGGGCCTCGAATTTCTCCCAGCCTCGGGCTCCCTGCAGGCTCGTTCTCTGAGTTAAAATGATGACAACAAAACGAATACAGTCACAGCTCCCACGTACTGAATGGTCAGTAAGGGTGGTCACCCTGCCAGGGCTCTAAAGGCGTCATCTCTTTTAAGGTTAACTCCACTTTGCAGTTGAGGGGAGTGAGGCGCAGAGAGAGGTTAGGGGTTCTCCTCTCTCTCTATCTCAGCCAAGGAGCAGCTGATCCGGCCTTTTAAGCCCCGTCTGTCAGCTCTGAAACCCCGGCGCTCAGCCTCCAATTCGAATTGCCTGCGTAGAGCCCAGGGTCCGGGGAACCGCCCAGGGCCGCTCAACTCCGCTGCCAAGGGCTCAATAAACCGGGCGAGAGGTGGTGGGGCCAGGCTGTAGAGGCCAAGCACCCTGGAGCCAGACCCTAGACCAAAGTGGTGGTATGTACGGAAGGGAGGCAGGGCCTGCAGGGGTGATGGGGTGCGGGTGGGCAGGAAGGCCAGCTGGGATTTGCAGCAAGGAATTCGATGGGCCAGCGGGAGCCAAGGCCTCCAGACTTTGAGATTTGAAATACAAGACCCCACCCTTTTTTGAGAGGGCGGGGAGAGAGGGGGGTATTTGTAGGAAAACAGAAAATCACCCTCACTGAGAAGGAGAAGGGGAACTCCCTCCTCTTACCTACTTTATTGTCTAGGTTCCCTTGCTTGCCTCTCTAAAGGCAGACTTCGCAAAGGGTGGGTCTGAGCTTCAGGGATGGGAAGGAGTACTGGTGAGAATGATTTTGGGGAAAGGGAGAGAGAAGGAGAGGAGGGGCGACCCGCGGGCCTCCACTCTGCCCCCCTCAGGCGGGACCCGCGTCAATAACCGCCCGATGCTTTGTCATTTGCAAGAGGGACTCCGAATTGCATTTAGTAATTTGGTGTCGGTTTACAAGCGAAAAGCACTTCTGTTTCTTCTAGGAACAGATCCTCAGCCACGTCCTGGAGAAAGGAGCTGGATTTCCTGAGCCTTCGCCTATGTCTAGCTTGTGAGGCACGCGGAGGCTGGACCCTCCCGGAGCTGCGCGCACTGCAACCCCTGGGGTAAATGAACGTTTATAGAGCTCCTGCTATGTGAAGACTCTCTAACCTCATTATTACTGAGTCTTCACAACCACCGGGCCAAGAAGGCCCCTCATACTGTTTTGCACCTGTGGCTACTGAGTCGCAGAAAAGATAATTGACCAAGGTCACGTAGTCAGGGGAACAATCAGCCTTGAGCCCAGGCTCCCTGACTACTATTGCTTCTGCACATTTCATTTAGTGACCAGTTTGTGGAACTTTAGGTTCTTTTTTAATTTCCCAGAAAAATACAGATAATTTCGCCTTTAATATCAGTGTTCCTCACACTTCCCTAAACTCATCCCATTATAAAAACTTCCCTCCCTTCACCCCCCTCCCACACCACCTCACCTCTCAGCAATTGGTGGGGTTGCGATTCTCTGGGGGGCATTGAGGTCCAGGAACGGAGTGTAATTCATCTGGACCACGATTACAGCTACATGCCCCCGAACACAGCAGATGGGGTCCTGGAAGGGTGGGGAGAGAGGGCACGTGGAAACGGGCAGGGAAGTCTGGAGGAAGCCAGTGGGGCTGTTGCGGAGGTTTTTCTAGGGATTGGGGGAGCTTGCCGGGGTGGGAACGGTCCTGGGCCCGCCCACCCAGAAGCCCGCCGGCCCAGTCTTTCGGGGAAGCACTGGGACGCCACTTTCTCCAGGTCTGACTGGATGCTCCGGAGAGGGGTGGGGGAGCCGCTGGGCTCTGAACCACGTTCGGAGGGCCTGGCTCTCTCGGTGTGCTCCCAGGAGCCGGCTCCGCCATCCTCAGGGATTCGCCCCCATCTCCCTTCTTGGCATCAGCCCGTGTGGTTTACTGTACACAAATCCCACTTGTTTCCTTCTTACATAGCAGCTTTTACAACTCTAACCAGTTCAAACTGCCCTTCTTGTTTATTTTCTGTTTAGTAAACAGCCGCTCACGCCCATTTTCCCTCCTGTTCCCTCCCGCCCCCCCCCCCCAATCCAGTTACTCAAAATTAACAAACTACTTTCTTGATTTAGTTTCTTAATGTTCATAATAACCGGTGAAGAGCTAATGAGTTCAGGTCCTACCCCGCCCACCAAACAATAAATAAAGTAAAAGCCCAGCCTGCCCCCCCCCACAGAGCAGAAGTAGGGGTGCTGGTGGGGGTGTTGTAGATTGCCTGCATGTTGTGGAGCCTGTTGGCAAAGGCAGAAATGTAGCTAGCGGAGGGAGACAGAAAACACCAGAATGAGTTGATAAAAACGTGTTGTATCCTATTACGGGAGGTCTGCTCATAACGCTAGGCACTAAAATTAGAAGAGATGGAGGGGAACAAAATAAAAAACGCGAACCCATTGTGAGTTTTTCTGGCTGGGGGAGCTAAGGGCTCCGTGAGGTTTCTGAGACTTCAGGGCAGAGGCCGACATAGACCAAGGCGCTCACCAGTCCACTGCCTTCTCTGAGACCACTGTGTGACCCAGAGCTCTTTGAACCTGTTTCATTATTGGAAAACGGGGTAAATCGTTCGGCTGCAGTCAATCCAAACTCTCTAACGTAGGTGAACAAATGCACTTTAATGAATATAAGCAGCTACACAGAAGGTAAAACTCACTGGTGTTAGGTGGTGCCAAGCAAGAGGCACCAACACCGTGATTCTGTCCCATGTCTGAGCGCGCACGGCTCCTGTCACCCTCCGAGACGCCCAGGGCACCTGAGCTGCCCACAGGAATAAGTGGGACCGCTTCTCTACTTTCTTCACTGGGCATCGCAAGTGGCTCTGAGGAGAAGCGCCCCGCACTAAGGGAAACCTCAGTGCTTGGTGACCAGGGAAGAGCTTTACAGCCTCACCAAAAGTTCGAGAATACCTGTGAGTCTAGTGGATCGCGTTAGCTTCATAGCAATTCCTAAGCAGCCTTGTTCCAGCCTCTCGGAGTTTGGTTAACTCATAACTTTCTGACGGGTAACATAGATTCAGTTCAGCAATTTCCTTCCTTGAACAAATATTTATTGCAGGCCTACTATGTGCTCAGTGCAGTGGCATTCAATTTCCTAATCTGTCTCCTAAACCGACCCTCAGAGGTATTAATTATTTAAAGACCTAACTAGAAAAGCATCTCAGTGATTTTAAATTTAGTTGAAGAAGTAGAATGCAGCATTGTGTTAGGGGACTATTTCTTTTCAACGTGTAAATGGAACTGTTATTAAACGTTTATGTGAGGATTTTTGAAGGAGTCAGTAAAAAGTCTTTTTTTCTTTAGAAATACATTCATGCACCTTAAAAAGTAATTTTTTTAAATAAAAGAGCTTCGTTTAAAAACATGCTTGGAATGAATATATTGTACCCAAATCTCTTATTGGCATGTATGTCCGTTCTCCCCCAAATCAACCATAGTAGTAATTGACATAGCAGAAAAATGTGACATAGGTAATTTGGCGATTTGCCTGCCTTTCAGGCAGGGTGAAGGTTAATGAGGAACTACTTTGCATTTCGAAGATGAGAGGCGCTAGACACAAAAGTATCTACAGGTCATTTGTCCGTTGCCCCGGCGCTGCGGTGCAAGGTAACTATTGATTTAGTCTTGCAGGAGAAAGTAGGATGCAGCCGTTCACCCGATTAGAGAGGCCTCATTTTTGCGCCCAACTCTGGGTTAATGATTGAGTCGCAGAAATACTGGTGATGCTGATAACGTAGAGACCAACAGTAGCCTTTCTATCTCTGCCTTGCCGTCTATTACCTTTTCTTGTGGACAACGCGATTCATAAGAGTGGGTGTCGGCTTGTTCCCTAGTCCCCAAGATAAATGGCGATTTTACCTCGGTAGGCGGATTTAATGTTCGGACCTGCTACCCCGCTGCACCGAAGGCGACGCGGGAGTATTCTGGCGGAGCGCGGAGAGGAGGAGGAGCGTGGTGGCCGCCTGAAGGGGGAGAGCTTCGGGTCGGCGCGCCTCAGCCAATCGGCGTGCACACCGCTTGACAACTGGCCAATCAGCGGGCGCGAAGCCCGGGGGCCCGAGCGGATATTACTGGGAAAGGGAGCGGTGGCTGGAGACTGCAGTGAGGGGCGCTGCGCCGCACGCAGCTGCGTGCACCCGCCCTCCGCAAGAGCCCGCGGCCTGAGCCAGGCCAGGGTGGCCCGACCTTTCCCTCCCAGTTTGGGGCAGAGGAAGCCGAAAGTAGCTTCAGCGAGGTGAAGCGCCCGGGGCTGCCGAGGACCGATCAGAGCTTTGCAGAGATCGGGATGTGTGGGGCGAGGCCGTGAGGACTTGACTCACCTTCTCCATCCCCCTTTCTCCCCCACTTCCCATCCAGTGGGCTCCTCGCCTCCAGCGCTCAGCCCCCGATTTCGTGGCAGGGTGTGGCGACCCCGATTTCTGTTTGCAAGCACAGCCAGCAGTCCAAGAGCCAGGTCCCAAGGCTGGATATCTTTTGCCTCGGCTGCTAGCCCGGGCCTCAGAGTCTTGGTGAGTGCTGTGATGTTGCTGGGGTGTCAGGGAGGGCAAAGGGTGCAAATCACCTTTCCTTATCTTTTCAATTTATTTGGAAGTTTTGCGTTAAAGTGCAAACCATCTCCGATGTACACAGAGCCCGTGAGGCTCTCAGTCCGGCTCAACCCTCCGCGGCCCAAGCACTGTTGATGCTGGAAGAGCATCTGCAGCTTTGTGCCCAGCGTCCTTGTGGGGCTGTAGTGACAGCAGAACACTTCTGTTATTTGTCGGGGTGGTGTAGGTGGATGAGAGACATTTGGGAGTCATAGGGTGGTACCTTTCTGTGTTCAATGGGCCCCTTTTCATCAAAAGAAAAATAATTCTTCATCGACATTTTTATATTCATCTTGGTCATACTAGTTGGGTATGGGGAAGCCTGACAAGTGGCCTAGGCTGGCCTACTTGGGCACAGTCATTACCCAGGGACTGTCCCCAAAGCGGGTGTATAGCCAGAGGGGGCTGCGGTTAAAGGTCAGGTGCTCACCGAGCACTTAGAATTAATAGATAAAAACTTTGTTGGGTTGGGGATTCTGCGGGGGGGGGGGAATTCTTTAGATACCAGACAGGTACGTCTGGCCTGGATGTCAGGGCCAGGTGGAGATCAGGGCTTCTTAAGGGGCCAGAGGCGGGGAGACCAGGAGGTCTGGTCCCAGGGCCTGGTGACGGTGCCTCATGGCGGCCGGTGGGTTTGGGGATCTTTTCGTGTCTCCCAGAGTGCAGGCGACTGAGCTTGTGCCCGAAGGAGGTGCCACACACCATGGCTGACCGGCAGGCGGGCCCGGCGGCCGGAGACTGGGAGATCGACGTGGAGAGCCTGGAGATGGAGGAGGACGGCTGCGGGGCGCCGCCGCGAACGCCGCCGGGGTCCACCCAGCCGCCGGCAGACGGGGACGGCGAGGACGACGAGGATGAGGACGAGGAGGACGACGACGCGGAGTTCGAGGGCGAAGGCGAGGAGGCGGGCGCGTCCCCGGGGGTGTCCGGCAGGCCAGAGAACCAGGGGAGCCTGCCGCTGAGGCCGCCTCCGGCGCCGCAGGCCTCGCAGGCCCTCGCGGGGCACCCGGAGCGCGGCGTGAACGCGGGCGGCGGCGCGGAGCCGCGGAAGCTGAGCCGCACGCCGAAGTGCGCGCGCTGCCGCAACCACGGCGTGGTGTCCTGCCTCAAGGGCCACAAGCGCTTCTGCCGCTGGCGCGACTGCCAGTGCGCCAACTGCCTGCTGGTGGTGGAGCGGCAGCGCGTCATGGCCGCCCAGGTGGCGCTCCGGAGGCAGCAGGCCACCGAGGTGCGTACCCGCTGGGCCCCGGGGCGCGCCTCGCTGTGGTGTCGGGGGGGGGGCCTCGGTGGGGGTCGTGGAGTTGGAGGGGACACGGCTGCTTCCCACCCACGCAGGCCCAGAGCCTCGGGGACTCCGGCGCTTCCTCGGAAGTGTGGTGAGAACACCTCTCCCCACGCTGGCCTGCAGGGTACCGAGGGAGGATGCCCGGGACGTCACTGGGGAACTTTGTAGAAAAGGTTGTGTGTCAAAAAAGGGCTTGAGCATGGTCAGGCCCGCTGTTGACAGTATGGGAAAGGCATTTAAAAAAATACTTTCCAGTTTATTTTGGTGGTATCGGGAAGAGGAGGATTCTAGGGATTGTTGCAGTGCGTGGCGTCCATCGTGATGCTCCGCGCTGTTCTCACGCTGTTCACGAAAAAGAAGAACGCAGCACGCAAAGCACAGGGTGCTTCCGCCATCACGGGCCATTTAAGATCGGCCGAACGTGCTAACGATTTTATAGATTAGACCAAACGTGTTAGGGGAAGTTAGGGGCCTGAAGCCCAAGGTCGTGCAGCCAGAAGAAGCTTCTGAACGCGAGAGCTACCTAATAGCCGGTGGAGGGGTTTCTGCGTCTCCCACCGCAGGCAGGGCTCCAGCTGTGAGGAGAGCCAGGGTTGTCTTTAAGAGGAACGTACGTCTTGAACCTTGGACTTGATGTTCCTGAGGCTGTGCGCGGTGCCCTCCCATGCTCAGGGAAGGGGGAGGATTTTTTATTTTACTTTTTACCGAGGAGGGGCTGGGGAGTGGATCACCGCTTACACCAAAGGCAGTGACTCTAATAGAAAGCCTCCCCAGGGCCCCGGAGAGCACGCTGGAAGCCTAAGGTGGCCCTGGTCCGACTCGGCCTCTTCCTGCGTCCAGCGTGTTTCACCGCGGGCCCTGCGTTCCCTCAAGCTCCCCACGGCCTGCTGCGTTGGACCCTGGTGTGGAAGGGTCCAGGATCCCACCACCAGGAGGGGACAGCGGGTGCAGGGTGGTGTCCCCTTGTCCTGCGTCTCTGGCGGCCTCTGTGGGTTTTGTTCGCTTTCTTGCGTCCGGGTCACCCAGTGAATAACCCGGAGTTTTTGGCCAGACCAGGGGCTGTCTGAGAGATAGGGACCCTCCTATCTCTCCCTCAACACCCTGCACCCGTCTCACCCGTCCTACTGTGAGGAGAAACCGGCCCCATGTCACTGTCCAATGGCACCTTCAGCCCTGGGTACCTTCAGCACTACCCCTGGGCACCAAGGACCCAGCACACGGCTGTAGCTGTCTTTCAGGGTCAGGCCCCCACCAGCTCCTGGGCTGTAGATTTCACCTTCCTCAGACATGTCCCCCCGTTTTTTGGCTACTGGGAGAGTCTGCGTGACTCTTAACAAAGCAGCCACAGAGAAAGCCCGGGGCCCTGCTCACCAGCTGACGGCTTCGGACGGAGCTAACTTGTTGCCCAGGAATTAAGGAGTGCTAATATTAACTTATTTGGAATCATTTAAACATGGGATAGGAAGCGAAATACATTTAGACGGGGGAGAGTTGCAGACACCATTTCTTCTCGCTTCTTTCCCACGTTTTCTTTCAGAGCATTATTAATTATGTTTTTTTTCTTTTTTCTTTTTCTTTTTTTTTCGTGTGTGTTTGTGTTTACAGGACAAGAAGGGGCTTTCCGGGAAACAGAATAATTTCGAGCGCAAAGCTGTGTATCAGAGGCAAGTCAGGGCACCTAGTTTGCTGGCCAAAAGTATTTTAGAAGGTAACGCAAAGCAAAACTATTCCTTTAGCCTTTTAAACCAAATTCTAAGTGAAGTTCTCATCATTCTGGCACATGGGATTTTTACTAACCTGTGAAGGAGCAATCTGAGGAGAAGGTACTTTTTATTAGAAGGTTTTGCCCTAAGATGGAAATCAGGACAAAGAAAAATAAGTCTCACATACCTCCTGAAGTTTTTGTTACTGATAATTTTGTTGTCTGTTTAATAGTTAATAGATTAACATGGAGTGCATATGGAATTTGTCCTAGGGTGAGGGATGTACAGAGATACAGCGCCAAGTGATCCCGAAACAGATGTCCTGGAAAGAAATAAATTAAAAAAAATTATTTAGTTATAGTTGGAGCAAAATAGAGTAAGTCAAGTGAGGAGTTTAACAGCTATCCACACCAACAAAGACCTCTAGTCTGGACAATTCAGCCTCTAAATTTATTCTTTTTCATTTTACCGTTTTCCTTCCTGGACTGTCTATAATTGTGGTTATTTCACACATCACTTTACCATTTTGACAGTCGAGATTGTAGCCTCAAATAAGAGATATGGAGGTTGAATTTGAACAGTATTAAGTCTATAGTTCTCTCCATGTTCTCACTTTCTGTAAAGCCTGGGGATACAATAATTTATCTTAAAATGTTACTGATTTTTCAAAGCATCTCTGTTCAGGTATAGAATATATCTATTGATCTGATAAATAATATACTGACTGCCTTTCACCATTTCAGGACAAGAAAGGTTTATATTGGCACTAATTACTGCTGCTTTGTAAGATTCAGGTTGCAAAGAAGAATAAAAAATAGACATTTGAATTCTGTTTTTTACGGTGGCTTCTGAATTGGGTTATTCTGGATAGGTTTTAAAGTTTGTTTGTGTCTTACCCTGTGCTGTGTACTTCGGGCCTTAGCATGGTTTCTCATGTTTAAGAAGTGAATTTGATTACAAACTAGGTAAACAGATTTATAACCATAGGGACCACACTGATAAATTGAAATTGTGCCAAAGCAATTTGAGAAGTGGGAGGACTAAATAGCATAGTAAATTCAAGTAAATAACTTCCTGGCAAAAAACTTACCATGGTAAAGGAAACATTAATTTTCAAATTTTATTTTATTTGCAAATGAGTATGATGGGTTTGTTACTACGTAAACACAAATGTTACAGTGGATCCTTCATACAAATTTGATAGTGGTGAGTGCTTGGGGATGATGAAAATATGTTATACCGGCAGGAATTCTATTCATGCTGTTATGCTGATCTTTGTTTTTGACTTCATGAAGTATGGAATGATTTAAGCTATGTTCTAATGATTTGCTTGTTCAACAATTTGAGTATCTGGCTAACATGATTAGTGCTTGGGAAAAATGTTTTAAAGCAATTATTTTCAATATAGCCGGGATCTCCATGCTCTGCTCTCATGTTTGTTTGTTTGTTTGCACTGGTAGTCAGGGGTAGGGGCCTAGTTTGGTGTTCACTACAGAATCTGTTTGACTAGTCAACAGCTCTTTTCAATTTTCCGTGTTTCTCTGTTTCCTTAAGTCTTTTCTGTTTTTCTCCTCACTAATCTGCTTTAACTTTCTCTTTTTTCCTAGTTCTCCTTGGATTATTCTCCAACTGTAACAATGTGTACATAATGAGCCATCTTTAGAAAATAAAAGTGACTTCGGCTCTAGGTATAGATATCTTTTTTAATAATGGAAAAAGATAACACGGATAGTAATAAGTCATTGATTGAAGTGAGATCAACAACCTTGTGTAGGAGCCTGGGAAGAATGCTAAAATTTCAGCTAGTGAAGTATTTTTTGTCAAAGTAAACAAACAAACCTATAACTACAAAATAAAAAATAACAAAAAGCTATTATATGGGTATCCTTTCCCCCCAAGGGAACAGTTTAGAATTGAGCTAATACTTTTGCTTTCTGTATAAAAATATTAGTGATATAAAACTGTAAACACTTGCTCTGGCAATTTGTAGTATTTTGGGTTGCCTCTGGATTTCCAGATTTTTCTTCCCTAGATGTTAATCTCTTTCGTGTGCAATGCTTGCTTATTTTAGGCTACCGCCCCATTCCAGCAGAGACTTATGTGGGAGGGAGCTTACCTCTACCTCCCCCAGTAAGTGACCGGATGAGAAAAAGGCGGGCCTTTGCCGATAAAGAGTTGGAGAACATTATGCTGGAGAGAGAATATAAAGAGAGGGAGATGTTGGAAGCTTCCCAAGCTGCTGCCTTGTTCCTGCCCAACCGCGTGGTGCATGGACCTGAATACAATTCCTACAAAGGTGCCTACAACCCCACCCCAGTGGAACCGCCAAGCAAAGACTTCTGTAATTTTTTGCCCACCTGCCTTGATCTAACCATGCAGTATTCAGGGTCTGGAAATATGGAACTCATTTCTTCCAATGTCAGTGTGGCCACAACTTACAGACAGTATCCCTTGTCCTCAAGATTTTTAGTTTGGCCTAAGTGTGGCCCCATTAGTGACACACTCCTCTACCAGCAATGCCTGCTAAATGCCACCACCTCAGTTCAAGCCTTGAAACCTGGGGCCAGCTGGGACTTGAAGGGAGTACAAGTCCAGGATGGGCTCAGTACAGAACATGATATGTTGCCACCCAAATTGGAAGGCTCTCTGGTGCTGCCTCACACTTCTGAGGTCCAGACCTCAAGAAGTGACCTTCAGGGTCACCAGGCTGTTCCTGAGAGGTCTGCATTCTCCCCACCCCGACGGAATTTCTCTCCGATTGTTGACACGGACTCCCTGGCAGCTCAAGGGCACGTCTTAACCAAGATCAGCAAAGAAAGCACCAGGCACCCTCTACCACTTAAACATAATCCATTCCACTCACTATTCCAGCAAACTCTTAATGACAAATCAGGTCCTGAGTTGAAAACACCATTTGTCAAAGAGGCCTTTGAAGAGGCCCCTAAGAAACACAGAGAGTGTTTAGTCAAGGAGAACCAGAAGTACACATTTACAATAGATAGATGCGCAAAAGACCTTTTTGTAGCCAAACAAGTTGGAACAAAACTCTCGGTGAATGAACCGCTGTCATTTTCTGTTGAGTCTATTCTCAAGAGGCCTTCATCTGCCATCACTCATGTCTCTCAGTGAAAGGCTGCTTAAATGGAAAGCTGGATTTTCTGCAGTCTCAGAGGGTCCTTACCAGTCACTCAGTTTCTTTTTCAGAAAAAAGATGTTTGTATAAAGAAATTTGTAATGTAAATGATGGTGATTTAAAAATTCTATATATTCATATGCATGTACTTCTCACCACATAAATATATTTAAAGATGGACTTGCTCATGGGCAAATTGTAAAGTTCCGTGCTTTACACATTATTTCAAAAAGCAATAAAATTGACATTGTCTTCTCAAAGACTCAGTATTTGCTGAAGTAAATAGTTGTCTCTGTCTAGGTGGAAAAGCTAGCATCCATGAAATGTGATCTTTATTTTTCTATGATTCTGTGTATTTTCAAGCGCTCTTACTGGTTGCTGGGGGCCATAGGAGAACCCTTATAATGCTTTAGTTTTTGCATTTTGGAGGGCATGTAAATGTAGCTATTCAAGACTGAGACAAAAATAAGTTTATGGAGAACATAGGGAAGATTTGCATGTTTATAGAATCATAATTTCATGTGATTGGACAAAGTCGTATTAAATTGAGAAATCAAGTTTAATATCTTGTTTATATGATGTCATGGGTTCTTGGAAGGGATCTTTTAATTATCTAGGTCCCAGCGTCCTTCCCTGGTGGGGATGTGGAGATGGGGCCTCAAGCTGCCTTTCTCAATTGAAACTTCATTCTGTGATTTTTGGGTTGTTAGGGGCCACAGAGCAGGTTCCCTTGTAAGGTGCAGTTAGTTCATACTGTGGTGTGTGGTTGAACCCTCTTGCGTTACTTCTCGTTTCCTAAGGACTGGTGACAGCAGTTTCAGGACTCTCAGCTGGTTCCTGAGTGTCAGCTTTATGTGTCCCACACTTGCACCAGTATCAGGGGTTTTCAATGTACGCTGAGATAAAAGCATTTACTATTCAAATTGCTTCAGCTGCTAGTTGCTGTAGCCAGCAGATATTTATCACAGCATGAGGGTAGGTTTTTGATTCTTAAACTTTTCCCCTCTGTTTTTAAGTTCATCACTGCCCTCTTGTTTTGCTCAGCAGAATGTTAACTGTTGTTGTATATGATGGATAAAGTAAGAGTTAGGCATTTATAAGAGTATTAAATTTGTATCTGAAGGCCTCATCTGTGGACCCTAAGTCAAGATCTAAGATGTTATAGTCATTTCAACACAGAAAATCAAGAGCCAAATATCTCACCTTTAATTTTGCCTTGCAGTGAAATTTCAACTCTGTTCGCATTCGGGTAACAGTAACATTAGGTGGGTGTGTGGAATGTGCCAAGAAATTCGGCAGTTTAAAGAGCTTCTTTCTTGCTCTGGAAAACATTTAAAATTATTTAAAAATGATTTTGCTACTGACGAGCTCACGTAAACCTCCAGGGGTTCTCTGAATTGTTGCTTAAAATTAGCATCAGTTTCAAAACCAACAAGCCAAACCTTAGATGGATTTTCAGTTTGTACTTGTAAAATAATACTTGGTTTTGTTGAGTCAAATTTACTTATTTTTTATGATTGCAAAAGCCAGAGCAAATGGAAGTTTGCCAGAGGAAAAGAAAATGAAAGCGGGCAGAGATCCCACTAACTATTGAAGATTATCATTAAGTGGAAGAATGTTTTCCAGCCATGAATGCTCTGGTGTCAGAGAGGGACTCTCACTGCTGTTGCCCCTTGCCCCCCCAGTCGTCTTTGCTATGGCTATACAGTTATTAATTTTTATTTGCCTATCAGGAATTTATTTTTTTGTGTCAAGTGTTAAGTGTAAACTTAGCATTGAAATCTAATAGCTGCGAGGTAATAGGGGAAAGCAGGATAAATCCACATAAAAAAAATCTCAAGGAGAAGGCCTTCTTAATTCACACATGGGTTTTCTCTTTCCTACTCTATTTTGGTATTTTGAATACTTATATCTATCAATTTTGTCCTTTTGGTGTTCAAGGAACATTTTAGGATGGCTTTTCTGTTCTCTCTCTATATCATTTTAATCTCATTAAGTGAGTCCAGTGGCTCTGTGTATTAGTGGTTTTCCTCACATTACCAGTGACCAAAATTTCATTTTTCTTGAACATTTGAGGCTCAATACTTTGCTTGGTGAATTTATTATTATACTGTGCATTAATTCTGCTGTAATGGTGAGTTCTTGGAATTTCAAATCGACCAGATTTACCATCAGCCCCTCAATGGGATCTTTGTGCTTGGCTCTTTGCTTTTAATCATTTCACTTCCATAAAAGCTATTATTTGACTATACAGAGTCTTCGAAGAACTCTGTCATCGACATATTAAATCAAACTTGTGGTTCAGTTTAAGCATTTTCTGTGTTTAAAGCAATAAATGGATGTGGCTTTAATCATTTTTAAGAATGTGAAGAATAGTAAAACATGGGCCTTTTCCTCAATTTAACTCATAATACAATAATGCAGCTTTAATGACATGTTTTCCATCCATCTCAACTGATTAAGCATTACTACTTTTTGCTCAATTTGCAGTTCTGAATTTGCAGTTAGAATTTGCAGTTCTAAATACTAATATTAGTTAATAGTTAATAATAGTCAATTAAAATGAATTTCCTTTCTTCTAACCCTTTGGTAGCAGAAATAGGAAAAAACGTAGACTAAGTTATAAAGTAGACAAGCTGTTTCCTTTCTCTTTTTTAAACTCAGAAGTTCTTTTAATTTGGTTAAAAAAATATTTTTAATTGTGGTAAACTACGGATAACAAAGTTTACAGCCTGAACCATTTTTAAATGTACAGTTCAGTGGCATTAAGTACATTTCACTTTTGTGCTTCCATCACCATTTGTCTACAGAAGCTTTTCATCTTGCAAAATTGAAACTCTGTACCCATTGAACAATAACTCCCACCTCCCCCCAAGCCCTGGAGCCATCATTCTACGTTCTGTCTATAAATTTGAGTACTCTAGGTACCTCCTACAAGTGGAATCATACTGTATTTGTCATTTTGAGAGTCTTATTTTACTTAGAATAAAGCTTTCAAGGTTCACTCATGTAGCATATGTCAGAATTTCCTTCCTGTTTAGGACTGAATAACCTTCCATTGTATGCATATACCACATTTTGTTTATTCATCTGTTGATGGACACTTGAGTTGCTTCTACCTTTTGGCTCTTGTGAATAATGCTGCTTTGGACATGGGTGTACAAATAGCTCTTCATCTAGTCCTCACTTCCTGATTTCACTTTCTCCCTGTCTTTAGGAACTCAGGTTTCTGAAGTATATATCCCTCCCACACAAGCCCCTCCCCCAGTGTGTATATCATCTCCACTCCTCACCGAGGCAACAGTGCTCTGCCCAGAGAGGTTTCAATGTTAGTTGCATACCTTTTTTTTTTTTGGTTAGAGTTTGTTGGGGAATCGGGGAAGGGGAACAGACAAGTTGCTGTCATTTTTGTTCTTCAATCTAGTTGTGGAGGATGTTGCTTCACTGGCCCATGTTGGTATTATCATTGCACTCTTCCTGGCTGAGGCTGTCGCTCGCCGACCATTGGACAGCTGCTCACGGCCGCTCACAGTGGCTCACGAAAGCTCACACCCACTGCCGGCCAGCCCCACTGCAGCCTACGCCGTTGCCAGCGACTCATGGCAGCCCAGCTCCAGGTCAAGCTGTTGTTCACCATCTTAGCTGTAGAGGGCACAGTGTCACTGGCCCTCATGTGGGATCCGAACCAGGGCCCTGCTGCTCAGAGCTGGCGTCCCAAGCCAACCTTTAACCAATGAGCCACTTGGCCGACCCAGTTGCATACCTTTTAATGTGAGTTTAAGTGTGTTATCACATCATCTGCTTTTTAAATATGTAATATATTCTATTTTTTAAAATTATTTTTTAATTTTTTAATTACAGTTATATTAGTTTTAGGTGTACAGTGTAGTGGTTAGACATTTATATAACTGATGAAGTGATCCCCCCATAAGTCTAGTACCCACCTGACACCATATATAGTTATTGCAACATTAGTGACTATATTCCCTATGCTGTACTTTATATCCCCATGGCTGTTCTGTAACTGCCAGTTTGTACTTCTTAATCCCTTCACCTTTTTCATCCAGACTCCCAACACCCTTCCCACCTAGCAACCATCAGTTTGTTCTCGATCTATGAGTTTGTTTTTGTTCATTTATTTTGTTTTTATACATTCCACATATAAGTGAAATATATGGTATTTTTTTTCTTTGTCTGACTTACTTCACTTATTTTTTATTTTTTTTGAGGGCAGTGTAACTGGCCCTCATATGTGGGATCCGAACCGGGACCCTCTGGTATCCCAAGCCAGTTCTTAACCATCGCGCCACTCGGCTGGCCCTGACTTACTTCACTTAGATAGACCTCTAGGTCTATCTATGTTGTCAAAAAATGGTAAAATTTTGTATTTTTTATGGCAAAGTATAGTCCAGTGTATATATGTACCATATCTTCTTTATCCAATCCCCTATTGATGGACATAGGTTACTTCCATATCTTGGCTATTGTAAATAATGCTGCAGTGAATATCAAGATGCATATATCTTTTCAAATTAATGTTTTGAATTTCTTTGGATAAATACCCAGAAATGGGATTGCTGGATCATAAGGCAGTTCTATTTTTAATTTTTTGAGGAACGAGCCTCCATACTGTTTTCAATAGTGGCTGCACCAATTTGCAATCTCACTAACAGTATATGAGAGTTCCCATTTCTCCACATTCTTGCCAACCCTTGTTTGTTGATTTTTTTTCAAATTTTATTATTAGTTTCAGGTGTACAAAACGTTGTTTGTTGGTTTTTGGTTTTTTTAAAAAATATTTTTATTGGGGAATTAGGGGGATGGGAACAGTGCTGGGGAATTGGGGGAAGGGGAACAGACAAGTTGCTGTCGTTTTGTTCTTCAGTCTAGTTGTGGAGGACGTTGCTTCACTGGCCCAAGTTGGCACCATCATTGCACTCTTCAGGGGCGAGGCACATCAGTCGCTGGCTTCTGGATGGCTGCTCACGCTGGCTGCTGACCACATACGGTAGCCCATGGCAACCCACTGCCACAGGGGCTGCAGCCTATGCCGTCGCCGGCGACTCATGGCAGCCCAGCTCCAGGTTGAGCTGTTGTTCAGCATCTTAGGTGTAGAGGGCAGTGTCACTGGCCCTCATATGTGGGATACGAACCGGGGCCCTCTGGCATCCCAAGCCAGCTCTTAACCAACGCGCCACTTGGCCGGCCCTGTTGGTTTTTTGACGATAGCCATTCTGACTCAAGTTAGGTGGTATCTCATTGTGGTTTTAATTCGCATATCTCTGATAATTAGTGACTTTGAGCATCTTTTCATATGTCTGTTGGCCCTCTGTAGCATGTCATTTGCTTTCAAAAGCTGAATTCTAATTGTGGAATGAAAGACTTGTATTAAGAAACTTTCTGGAATTCCTTCTGCACAGTCACAGTACTGCAAAAGAGCAAAGAAATGGCTGGAGGTCAAGATGAAGAAAGGAGAATCCACTATTCCCTGTAGAATGATAAAGATACTTAGTTTTAAGGTTGGGTTTTCAATCAGGATTGGAATTCTTACTGACCCACCTGATTTTATTTATTTTTGGATTAACTTTCTTTGTTCTTATTTTAGGTCTGTAAGCTCAGGCTTATTTCATTTTAGGGTCCAATTTGTAGGGCTGGTAGTTCTAGAGATAGCTGGATTCTGCAATATATAAACTTGGGTTTGTGGCACCCACTTATATTTATTTTAATGATTGTACCAAGCTTTTATCATACTCTACTACCCTTAATTATTTTGTTTTTAACATATCTAAGCACATTTAGGGCATGCTGGACAGAGGCATCTGGAAATACGTTGGCATCTGGTGTAATGTTAAATGTGTCATAATAATAGCCAACCAGTGTTTGGTACCTGCTAATTTACAAAGCACATTCACATTTATCTTTTTGATCCTTATATAAATTCTATATAAACTAGGCAAATGGCCATATCAAGAGTTGAATCTACATCTCTCTCTGTGTGTACACGCATTTGGGGTTTTTTTTTCTAATATAACTTGACCTGGCCAATGTATCTCTAAGATTT